GGATTCTCTTCTCTCTCTCTCTCGTGGTCTGTAACTCGAACTGCAAAATCGCTAGCTTCATTTTCTTCAGCACTTACTCATGTTCACCTGTGGTTCCCCGTTACCCCTTCTTTCTCTCTATCTCACTCTCCAATTGTTACCGACGTGTAGTGTTTTGATTTTTTGATCATATGCAGCTGAGCAATGAGGAGCAGCAGCAGCAGCCGGCCATTGTGTTGTTGTTCTCCTACTCTTGTTTTCTGTCTTTTTTTCTATTGGCTTCACTACAGACTTGCCCCCTCTCCCCCAAGACCTCATTCACCTAAACACGCACTGTCCCGATGTAATTATTTACTGGATATTTGGCGTGTTTGACCATAACAACGACAACCACTCAATACCAATCAGTCCTATAATAAATTAATACATTCATCATTATTGCGACTATTCTTAGTTTGCCGAGAGCTATTGGATTCTTTCTCATTCGACCACCCTCCCCGCTCTGCGTTGTATGCGAAACGCTCGACCAACCATTCTCGCGGTTGCACATAATCGTGTCTTAACGTTTCTTGTAGATAACGATCGATCTTGTTGGACTGTCAGTCAGTCTGTATCTGTCTGTGTGTATCCCTAATCTCTCTCTCTCTCTCTCTGTACCTTCTCAAACTCTTACCCGCTCGCCCTCATTGTGGAATATTGCATTACGGAGGCAGCCAACACAGTGTTCTTCCTTCTTAATCTCAAGTACTTATGCGTAGATTCTATATATGAAAAGTTCCGAGAGTCGTCACGGTAGAGTGCATTCGATTTCATGAATGTTTTAGATAAATTGTCTGTTTTGTAGATCGACAGGGGATATAGCATCATCGAAATCACTAAGAAGTCATTGTTCTGATTGTATATTTCCAGCGATAGACCTTTAGAGTGTCAGTTAGCAGATGACCAAAGGTATGTTCTGGGTAAGCAGACTTTTTGTGCGTTATTGTGAGCTTTAAACGTTTCACCGGCAACAGGTGAAGGACTTGCGATAATCATGTTTAAAGATTTCTTATGCACGGTCACCGCCACGATAAAACTAGGATAATTTCAAGATTTTCCAATTTAACATTTCGCTTTGATGTCACGTTTCCTAAGTTGAATCCATTTGATCCGCTAGCAACGAAAGCTTTTCACGCTGCCTTCTCTTTATTAAACCCCCTTCCCCGAACCAAGAATGCAGTATTGGCTCACTTAAACGATGCCTATTTCTTTGAAATGACTGAATAGGGTCGAGACATTGTCACCCATATCTCGAGTTTCGTTGTCACTCGCTGGGACTTCAACGAACTAACTCTGTCGATATGCTCAATTCAAGAGATTCCGAGACGATGAACACCGATGGGGGAAGAAAATCAGCGGGTTGAGTGTCTCCAAATGAGCGGGCACTTGTCCCCGTTGGTCGTGATATCTTGACGATAGTGGATGACTCGACGAAATTTCCCCGAAAGCACGGCCGGTTTCGCGAGGCTTGTCACTTGTCAGGCGTTGTATCGGGTTATCTTTTTTAGTTCATTCATATACTCAGGGAGTGAATTTTCGTCACGATAACCCCATTTGCAATACCAAATAAATTCGTTTGGACATCTATTTCAGAACCAGTCCATTTTGAATCATTACTATAATTTCATGTTTTATTGGTGGATTAGATACGTCTAACCGCGACAAACGGGAATAAGCATCGTTATAAAATATTTTACAATGAGTAANGTCATGAAAGAGCTGTACAAACAAGTTTTCCCGGTGTTTCTAATGAGGTTATTGTGACTAATACATATTCACACTCGTCTTTGTCCAGAATATCCGCCGTACAAATCACATTACAATAATCTTTGTAGAAAGAAAAAGTTGTGATTTGTTAATGGGCGGGATACTACCACGTTGCTCAGGTTGAGGCAGAATAAACTGGTTAAGAATGACCTGTTAAAACCCACCGCTGCAAAATTTGTGGAGAAAACAANNNTCATTTGCTTTTGTTCATCACTTATCGAGTTGAATTGAAATCCATTTTGGCAGCACTCAGCACTTCCCTGAGTTTGTAGCTGGAAAACCGCACATAGGATAAGTTCGCATGGTTGAAAAATTAATGGTAACCCAAACTGCACCTCATATGAGGTAGCTTTGGAGTTCACTAATACTTTGTGAGTTCAGTGGGGCTGTAATACCGACGAGTCCGCGCTTAACAAATCGATTAGGATGTGTAGAATAGTGCACTACCGCACTTTGTTTTGTTACTACTACATTGGCCATGGTGCATAGTTTCCACAGTGGAGAGGGTTTATGGATAACGTCAAGAGGGACCAATATGCGAGATTAACAAACGCCTTCCGCTTCGTCCGTTCTATTCGATACTTGCAATCTACCAATTGCCCGTTTGAATTGTGTTATAAACCCCGTGCTTTCCTTTTCACATTTTAAGTAGGAGCCTATTTAATTGCCTGTTACAATAACAAGATCTGTTTTTCGTCCGTCGCGAATCTCAGTTATAAATTCAGAAGGATGGAGGCGCCGGTGTGGAAAAGATTACTAAACATTCAGTTGGGTGGGGCATCTCGTCGCCTAGGTTACATGGTTACCACGGTAACGAACTTCGTCCCAGCCTGAGGTATTCACCGTTGCTAGTACGTATTGTGGAAGGATTTATGAGTACATAACTGCTTGGGCCTTTGCGTCCACTTCTGTATCTTGCTGGGTGTGCTGCGGTCAGCATCCACGATGTACATTTTTGCTCCAATCTAGGGCTCTTTCGTGCCTGGAAGATGAAATTGATGCTTCTAACGAGCCTTTGAAGACAGTAGCATTTCGGGCTAAGTAACTGCAATTTTGAGCCCTTGAAAATCGCACAGAATCTTGCTATATTTTTTTATGCAGCTGTGCGCGTGAGAGGTTCGACTTCTGGTATCAGTGGTCACTTATTGACTCTCCTATCGCTTCATCTATCCTATTAAGGGGTTAAGGGTAGGGTTCCTGTTTGCATTCTCTCCATAGTCCGCTCTTTCAAGTAGTCTACTTTCCGAGTGAATCTGATCATTGCTGTCTTGTTAAAACAGTATTCCGCTGTGGACCTTAATGGGGGATGTCACACCGACTGTTGCTAATTACACTATCTTGGAAATAATGTGGAACGTTTGTAGCTCGGGATGCTGATGTTGGTGTGTTCTCCAAGCCGGAAGTGTTGTTCATAGACGTTTCATAACCAGGCTAGGCACTGATGATGTTACCTGGCCTGGTTGCAAACGCTTCCAGCTCGGAGAACAACATTATGCTAAATACTAATTTCGCAGCAATAAAACGCATTTTGACGTTCGGATCGACCGTCATTCCGGTATTTGCCTTGTTTGTCGACAATCGAATGTGGTCAATACTTGCACATGCAGATTGACTTTTACTTGAACCGGAATTTAACTAAGTCATGCGGGAAAATTGAAGGTGGACGAATCGGGTTCTGTTAGGCAATGGGCTTAGTTCAAGGATACCAGATCCCAAACATTTTAATTTCCAAGAATGTAGAGCGCGTTATTTGTGATTGCCCATCGCGCTGCGCTTTGATACACAACAAATATGGGCGCAATATTCTGGGTACAAAATTCCACTAATCGACGGTTTCCAAACAAGGGAATTAGAAAAGGACGGCTGTAGCCAGGTTGGGACCACTACATATGTTGATCAATTGCTTTGCCGCGCTTGTTTGGCTTCGTCTCACAACCGCGTATGTTTTTTTACATTAAGCGTCCTACAAGAACCATGAATTTCATTCACACGAACAAAGCGCTCCACAACTTCAAAGTCGACCTGTGACAGAGAACGAGACCCAAGAACTTCAATAAAAGTCACCATGAAGTCAACCTCGTTCCAGTGTAAAGTATGCCGCTGGAGGCCTAAATATGCTTGTGGTCACCTAATGGCGCCACCGTCTCTGTCATACAACGTCGCAGCTAAGGGGGTGCAGTTAAGTGTAGTCAACTCTTGCCCATCCGGCTGCAAAGAAAGGGTTATCTAAACAGCCTCGAATCTGTTGAATGCACTGTGCGCACGCACTTGAATAAATGGCGAATAATGTCAGCTAACTGCAAATTACTCAGTCTTCAACAAGCCATCTACTAAAACCGTTGAGAGCACTCCCCTCTTTGAGCTGAAGTCAAACGACTGTGGCGGACATTAGCGTTCTTTTGAAACTGTTCTCACCT